GAAAATTCAGGTAAAGGGAAGGAGATTTGAGACGATAGAAGAGATTCAGGCAGAATCGCAGATGGTGCTTGACAGGCTGACAAAGAAAGATTTCCAGGGATGCTTCCAGGCTTGGCAGCAGCGCTGGGATCGTTGTGTTCACTCCCAGGGGAACTACTTCGTGGGTGATGGATGAATTTAATACCTGAGATAAGTGTACGGGTTTTTATACGCGCAGTCTGAAACTTTCCGATCGCACCTCGTATATGGGGGGAACCATAGGTTGAATAACCCGATAAGTTGGACGAGCGAAGGTAATGGTAACATGGTCGTGGATATGAAAAATAAGTAGAAGACAAAGATATAATTAGCAAAGTTGAAACAAAAATATGTAAATCATTGTTATAAATACTGAAATATACAGAGATTCAATACAAATTTTCCTCCGCAGATGATGTGGGCATTTCGCACGCACAAGCCGACAGCAAAAGAGTCACTTGTGAGTGCTGTTCGAGGAAGTCCCTGTATTAAAATAGTGAATTTATCAGTCATTCTAAGTCGCTGTCCATCACATGAAGTGGAGCTTCTGGTGTGATTCTGTTGATGTCAGATGATTTGCTTGCTATGTTGTCCTGAACAAGAAGGAGTAGGGGTTCAGCTTCTATGGGAACCAGCAGATTTGAAGAACCTATGTATTTTCAGCTGGGCTGATTTTTATCTTTGACTGTGCTTATCCAGTTCCCTAAATGTCCTGAAGTGTTCGTCATAATCAACGAAACCTGGGTCTGAGGTTAGATCAGTGAACTGTCTGATACCATCAACATATTCCTTCACACCTGATGGTTTTGCAGGCTTTTGCTTTTTTTCTTCGTACTGCATAGATCTTTCTTTACCGACTCTCATCAGTAGAAACCAATTGCAACCGATCTAGTTGTAATTTAGTCTGTTAATGTGGGAGTCAGATAATCGAGGGTCGGTTAACAGAGGTTTTACTGTGTATGTCTGATTATATTTCTGTGTATGTACATGGCTGTAGCTGAGAAGTTTTACCATAATGTACATGAAATGAAATTTATGTTTCAGATAATACCATGAAACACAAGCGTCAATTTTTAGTTACATTACCCAAGTTAGTTACGTTAATTTATGTAGTTATGTTACAACACAAAAGAAGAATTCAGTTTTGATACAACGGGAACATCTGTTTTCAGTTATGTTACACTGCATACTGTTCAAAATGACTTCCACCATTGTCTATGCACAGTTATGTGCATTTCAAAAAGGATTTAGTTGCCTTTTTAATAATTTCATCAGACGTATTACTTATGATCATCTGTGATTTTTGATGGTAGACCACACTGCTTTTCAAGAAATTCTCTGGATACTTGTCATTTGACTATGTTTTACTGTGTACATTATATTTTCTTCCTGATCAATGGCTTCCTGTGCTAGATGATCTTTTGCACATGTTGGGAGTCACTCTATTTCTCTCAGCTGCTGGTGTGCTCTGATAAATATGTATTGACTTGGAGTTCTTCAGTTTTCAAACTACTGCCAGTATTCCTCAACTACTGCTGTGGCATTGCCATTTCAGAATCCATGCATAAAATGGTTGTCTGCATATTCTTTATTTGTGAATGTTGTGTTCATACCATTACTCATTGCAGAACTTTGTGAAATAAGCACAGCCATGCAGTACAAACAGTAGTAAGTGAAATGTGTTTTATTTTACTTTACTTTTTACGTTTCTTTTCTTTACAAAGACCCTACAGAGGCCATCAGCTAATTTTGTGGTATGCTTTGACCAACATATTAAATGTATGCCCCCCCCCCACACACACACACACAGTGTGCACACACATATATATTAGTTGTAACTGGGGAGGAGGAGATAGTGGGGTTAGGAGGGTGAGGTGTATATCAGAGTGGGGGTAGGTGTGAAGCTGATTGTTACAAACTAATACCATGCAGCAGGGTGGCCCTACTTAGTCCTTTCAGGCCAGAAATAGTTATATGGTAAAACTAATAGCCAGTTTTATTATCTTTAACAGTGCATATTCAAAAAAAGATAAATTATCTTAGTATAATTTAAATTTTATTGAAACTTGCAGAAATTTTAAATTTGTTCTTGCAATGGTTTGTATTGACACACCTTGTAAACTTTAATCTTGCTGTAGTATTTTGAAGTCAATAGCATGTGTGGGCCTTGTATGTAAAGCAGCAGACAAAATAAGAATCATGATTTTTTTTACAATCTTTTGTAGTAAAGAAGATAAGCTTGTAGTAACAAATTAACAGATAATTTTTTTGGGCCTAGCTGCAAGTTGTCTTGCCCCAGATGTCACCTGCAGGCTCTCAGACCATGCTACTGTGCAATATCTTGAAACATGACATGCTTATAGTGTTGTAATGGTTGTAAATGGATGTGGAGTGATACAGATTTCTTTTACTCAAAATTCCATATCGTATGTATAATCATATCATACTTGTAACACTATAAATCTGCTGTAGGTAATACTACTGCCATCACCTCAATCAATGTGTCTGCTGTCTTCACCAAGCATTTCATGGTAGTATTACTGCCAGTGCATTTAAAAAATCTGCCATAAAATGTTATGTAATATTAAAAGGCATTTTCACCATTCAACAACTCTAAGTTTATGGTTTTATTCAAGAGTAGAGATTGCCTTTTTGTCATTGTGATTTAGTGATATTGAAAAGTTATTCGCTGCAGTTTTGTAGTTATGCTTTGATGTATGTTTCTCTCTCACACATGCACATTCTGCTCAAGATAACTTGTGTTTAGTGCCAACCAAGTAGTTGTTATTGCAGTTCTGCAAATAGACTATCATATGTTTGAGTGACTAATGCAGTTTCAGTTATGTCTACAAGGTGCGATCGGAAAGTTTCAAGACTGTGTCAATAGAGGGCGAACCGGATGTAGTACGAGCTTCTGCCTTTAGGGGGTGCGGCCTACATTCATAGTGAATCAGTGTGCCAGCCGGCATCATCGAA